TATATAGATATTTTGTCACGCAGTTTCAATTAAACCACAAACTGTTTATTAGTATACAGTTGTCACTTGTGTTTGCACATGTTTAAGCTTTTTCCTATTTAGTTTGAGCTAAATAATGTATTTTTTTTATTTATCTATGATATCTGTTTAAAGCTCTCTTTTTCTTCTTGTTTGTGTGTATTGCTGCTGCACCAGTACCTTGACTCAGCTTCATCCATCCAGAGGTTTCCATATCATACGCACTTTTTTTTAGTCTAATGTAAACAAAGGCCCTAGAAAGCAGTCTCCTTGTTGAACACTAGATGGCAGAGTTGAGCAGATTTTATATGGAGCAAGAAGGGAAGTTTTCCCAAAACTGTTCTTGGGTTGAGTAAGCTCATACTGAGAGGTTGTGTTACAATCAGACGGATGGGTGGAGGCGTCTGTGGCAGGAAGGCAGCTTTTCATCTATTTAGTCAGAACTGGTGCAAAGAGAGATAAGCCACTGACATTGTAATAACAGCCCCTTGTTCTTCGCTCTGCTTCCTACAGAGGGTCTGGACTCTCGACTGTCGAGGACAGATTTCTTGCAGGAGGCGTGGACTCTGTTGAAGTGTAAGACGACTGATTTTACCCAACCTCTTCTGTTTTGCCGTGACGTATGCAGTGCACCAGCGTGACCGTGATGGAAGCTAYGCTAAGAAGCTAACCTGAAATTGCTTGAGCTGTAAATAACCATCCCCTACTGGGAAGAGAGAAGTACCGAGCCAAACGAGATGGCTGTAAATGAGTGCTGCAGACTTTGAGATAAATTTAAAGGGGCAATATCATGTAAAATCAACCTTTATTTCTTTGTTTTATATCATGTTATAATGTTATCCTCTCATCAAAAACATGCTCAGAGTCTTGCTTTGACTCATTCATGCATGTTTGAGAAATCCTGTAGTGTCCTGAGGCAGCCAGGCAGGGGAGCAAAAATGACCGGTTGGGCCTAGAACCGCCTTTTGGGACCAGCTCCTCCTCTGGACTGAGTCTCCAAGCTGAGCTTCCTCAGCACAGAGGTGGGTTTRCCCAGCCCCATGCTGAAATAGGCGGGACAGAAGCGGAAGGAAGTTCTTAAAGAGACAGAGGCCAATTTCAAGGCGTTTAGAAACAGATATAATAAGAAGTCAAGTTTACTTTCAATTTAAACATATAAACAACATTTTAATAACAACTGAAGTTGACATAGTTACTTTATTATGGTATAAAATGTAAATATATGCCTGAGAAACACATAATATTGCCCCTTTAAGAATCAACACAAACTGAATTCACTTCCTCCGCCGCCGTTGCTAAACTACAAGCAGACTAAAACAGCAGAAAATCGACATCATTGTTCACATCTCCTTCTGTTCGTTGACTGGCCCGGTTGAAATTTTACCGGAGAAGTCCAGAGCAGAGAAGGGAGATTAGAAACAAGCAGAATTGTGTAAGAAGGCAAATCTGATATCCTTTGACTGCAGAAGAGTTACAGAAGTAGGAGGGTTATCATCGAAAATACACACAAACCGTGAAGTGTCCCATTTTATCTGAGCAAAGGTCAGTCTTATCCCAACTTCTAAGTGTTTTCATTTATCATGTGATGAAATAACGTGTGAGATCTTCTCAGAACCTGCTGMAAGTTCAACTTATCGACTCTTCTTTTTCATCACACAAAGCTTGACTTATGAGCGGTTGGAGAAAACAGGTAAATCTAAATTTTAAAAAAGTAATGGACATATTTCCATTAAATTCAAATAAATGCGTGACGGCTTTTAGAAGTTGTGCCCATTGTTCCCTGTTAAAAATGAAATGTTGACTGAGGTGACGGGGCACTGTTCCAGTGACAGGGTTAAGGTTTAGGAAATGGACGTACTTTAGACACGATGCGTATCAGCATGGCTGATTAACACGCTGATGGAGTGTAAAAATAGCAGACAGGAAGTGCAGACCTGTCAAATCAGTAGCATGTCAGCATAAACGCAGGCCACGTGTGTGTGTGGAGAGTCTCCTATAACTTATTTTCTAAAATAGTGGGTCAACGTAACTGCTTTGCAATCAAATGTATGTAGTACATCATCGATGCATGTTTCCCATACAATGATGAGATTTGTGCTCTGCATTTGACCCCATCACATGYGAGAAACAACCAAGTGGAGCAGCAGATATTTAAACACACAGGGAGCAGGTGTAAAGAACAATGTGACACATGGATATGGAGGGGAATCGAACCTGTGACCTGCTGCCCTACTACTTCTCCACAGCCATCACATTTGTATTCCCCGTTGCTGCTCTTCTTGTCTTGTACCTACAGACTGCGAACATYTTTATCCCAGCCGAGCAGGCAGACCTCCACCCACAGATCAATACTTCCTGTCTGCACAGACCAAACAKCCTTTGATCACTCTGATCCCGTTACATTTCCCACACAGCTTCAGGACGAAAGCTGATTCTTTTCTTCTGTCTCGGTTCTGTAAGATGGAGCTCTGTGTTTTGAGCTTCTCTGAGAGGAACACTGAAGAGACACTCCAAACTATAAGTGAGTGTTCAAATCTTTAGCGCAGAAAATGTTTCCTAGAAGTACAGTAGCTGGATGCATTTCAACTGTTCCAGTCAGCTGTTAGAATACAACAGGGCTATTCCACTACATTGCTCCAGGGCCCACAGTTAATGCAGTAGAGATGTGATGTTCGTGAATGATCCGAGTTTTTTGAACGGCTCTTTACAACGAATGATAGGAGCCGAATCGCGGGCAGTAATGAGCCATTTGTAGTGTTATTCCTCATATAACCTTTATTTTTTCATATTTAAATCACTCCCGCTTTGCTTTTTCACGGAAAACAGACGGAGTTGTGGAGTACAGAAGCTCACGGTGAAAGGGGGAGGGGGATTTCTGCTTAACAAACACATGGCTCCACCCACGTGACGGGATTACGTCATCACGTACGGCTACGTGATGACGTATTTCCCTACGTGATGACGTAATACGTTCAAAATTGGACGGCTCTTTTGAACGGCTCTATGAAACAGACGGCTCCCCAAGGTCCGGATCCCTTCAAAGAGCCATTTATCCCATCTCTATAATGCAGACCAACAGCACAGAGGCTGAACATCCAAGAAGGGGGTCTCTGCAGAACATGTCCTGTGGGCGGAGACGGCCCTACTCGTGATTGGTCGGATTAACGGTGGGATTTGAGGAGGCTTGAGGCAGCGGGGACTAGCTTGGTCGAGTAGGGCAGTAACGTTTTATTTTTTAAGATTAATTTTTGTCATAACTTACGAAAGGAAAGTGGCTAGCWGCACGAAATTTGAATGCCTTATATCTGAAGAGATGTGTAACACGATGGCTCGGTCAAAATATCCCTAACCAGCCTATAAAAAATATTGATTTTTAGTTATCTTTTTACAGGCTGTTTAGGGACATTATGACTGAGCCATGTTGTTACACATTCCTTCACATGTACGACGTTCAAATTTCGTGCAGCTAGCACTTTCCTTTCTCAAGTTATGACTAAAATTTATCTTAAAAAAACGTTGCTTCCTGCCCAACTCGACCAAGCTACTCCCCACCGCCTCCAGCCTCCTCAAACCCCCACCGTCAATCCGACCAATCACGTCTCTTGGGCCRTCTCCGCCCACATTAAGACCTCAGCCTATCACGATTTGGGCCATCTCTGCCCACAGGACATGTTCTGCAGAGACCCCTACTTGGAACATCCAGCAATTAAAGCCATTATGTAAATAAACCAAATATTACAAAGATCTGTTACCTTTGAAAAAGTTCATTTTGCTGCATGTAATAATGAATACAACATACAGTRCCCTAAGTAGTGTTAATTAAACAAAATCAAAAACAGAAATAACACATTTTGYGTCTTTAACACAAATATTATTTTGACATCTCTGACTTGACAAATTTGTAAACCAATTTTATTTTCACTTTCATAGTTTTATATTCAACTGCTTGTAGTTTTAACTGTCTTGGATGTTCATAGAAGTGGTTTTACCAGCTTTTAGCCAAGATTCTGACATTTCTGTAGAGAACAAACATGTCTATGTTTAACTAAAAGAACTCAGAGTAATTAAAATAGAAAACCAGGGGTTTGGGCTTAAGAGATTAATGAACCAATTGGCGGGCCAAACTTTGGCCATTCGCTGGCCACATCCGGCCTGCGGGCTGCCAGTTGAATAGCCCTGGAATAAAACAGTTACTTGTGCAAAAAAATTAATTCAAGTGGCRTTTTTTGTTGTTAAAAAGTTATTTTTTAATAAAAGTAACTACACACTGAGTTATTTTGATTGGTTAGATCGGTTGAGTCAAAACATTTGACATAGTGGCTGGTTGTAGATTCATTTTTCACAATCCAGCTTTTTAAACCACACGTTCACCAAATCCAACCAGACTGAACGTCTGCTTTTGTATGTAACAAATAAAGGCAAGCTGTGTCAAACCCAGCACTGCTCAGTTAAAGCTYGCCAGGCCCAGGACTGGCTTCATATGACCCAGCACTGGGTTACATTTAGGGCTGTTTAAATCCAGAAGGTTTTACGGTACATAATTTGGCGAATCATTGTGACTGGAAACTGACACAGACCTTCGTTTGTGTGTGTGTATGTATGTGTGTGTGGCAACAAAGCTTTTGTTTCAGCTCGGTAAGTAAACCTGAAACAAAAAGCACATTGTGCTTCAGACCTAATACAGCCATTCTGAGAACTGGTGAGCTCATAAACGAGAAAGAAACAATCTTCCATAACCCTCCATTTTACTTATCATAAAGTGTTAATCCTGAAATTATTACTTCTGTGTATATTCTAATTTTTTTCTCTTTTGCCCTTCAGCACTACAGAGGAACAAAACAGTAAACAACAAAAAGTCGTTCTATCAAGGTATGTGATCAACAAGGTTAACCTTAACCTCATTTCTTAAAATAAACTTGGTCAAAGTTTGCCTGGACCAAAACAGACTATTTATAGGACTGTAACCCAACTCTGTTATAAACACAACTTCTTCCTTCACATCTGATGCAACACTTGTTCATAAATATTACTCTTAAAGCTATAATCCAGTTATTTTAAATGATGTTCTGTCCAATAGTTATCAGTAGTTTGTACCTTATCAGCTGTGACATCCATCKTTGTGTCACAGTTTTTCCCCAAGTTTAGGCAAATTACTATTTCCTAAAAACAACGTGTGAAGGTGCTACATTAGCTGATATTAAACCTTGACACTTTTGCATTAAAACCTTTTGTGCCATTACTTTTTTCCCAACCAAACAACATTCATTTTAATATATGTTTTCTAAGCATATAATATGTATATTTTAATCAACATAGCATAAACACAGGCCAGCTTGCATGGCCTGTGTTTATGCTAATCAAACCAGACCTTGGTAGTGTTGTCAGATTTACAGTTAACTATCATATTTATTAGATAATTTATGGTTTATACAACATAAGTACAGTAGCTTTTTAAAAACCCAAGTACATGATAGTTTTTTGCAATTCTGTTCGTCAAAAAAAACTGCTAGGTTTTATTCATGTAAACACTCACACATCACCATCTGATCTGACCATGTGCTCGGTCTGGCTGCTCTTTCTTGTGCACATGTTCACCAATCACAACTACTTTGTTAAGGGGGATGGTTACACTCAACATCCTCAGCATATTCAGCATATTCACAAAAAATCACAAAGTAATGTAAAGACCAATGGGTTAAAAAAAGCAACTAAAATAACAAACGGCTGTCATACAAAAGTAAAACGATTTATTATTAGCTAATGTAGCAAACTTCAAAATCATTATGACATTTTTGACAAAGACTAGTTTAGTATATATATA